CGAAGCACAGCCCGAGACAGCAGAAGAGCAGGCAGTATTTTACCATATATGCTGGTGGGGAGGAAAAATAGGAAATAAGACCAGAAAAGCATCTTATAGCCAACAAATTTGTTTTCCTTTTATGGAAGCTACAAGAAGATATATGCTAATAGGTTTTAGAATAAGTAGAAGTCTTGCTTTGAAGGTTGGCAAAATATAGGTTGTATATGGGCAGGGAATATATTGATAGCCAAGTTCCCAGTGTGATGGGTTACCCTGAGCATCTGTAAGCATTTGTGGTTGTTCTGCAGCAAGGACAAATTCCTCTCCTTCCAATCTAAGGACAGGGTCCTGGAGAAACTCAAATAATACAATTTAAAAAGGGCTCCTGGTCAGTATAGCTATTTGCATTCAAAGGAAGTCATGTTTGAAGCATTCCTTTCAGAATTCCAATTAGAGATTTAAAACATACCCACACACAAATGGGAAAGCTTTAAATGGAGGTGTAGAACCATATTGAGGTTACTAACTTAATACTGTTTGAGCCATTAAATAAATGTTCCATAGTACTTAGTTCATAACACATTTCAAGTTATGTCTGGGCTAGTTCGGGTTAATAGTCCCTTTAATTGTTCTAATTCTAATGAGGCTTACTTGCTTGCCAAGCTATATTCTCATTCCTTTTAGCCTATTATACTACGGTATATTTTTTGATGGGCTCCCTACAATTGGTGCTAAGGGAGTCACTTCTGTCTGGGGAAGATGAAAGTTTATCTTTGTGATCTGAACTCATGCATTTATTCCTCAAAGATTTATGAGCACCTACTGTGTTCCTAGGCTGAGCGCTGGAGACAAAACACACACAGGACACAGTTTATACCCAGGTAGGGGTGAACAAGTGATTACCACGCAGAGTGTAACCGGCAAGGGGCAGGCTTCAGGGGTGTTGTATGGAAGCCGAGACCCAAGGAAAAGTCAGCCTGAGCCAGGCAGAGTGGGAGTGGGAGTTCCCCAGCAGGGGAAGCAGCCTGAGCAAAGATGGACGCGTTAGCATCCCAGATGCACCGACCTTCACTGGGTAGTTCATCCTGACCTTGTAGCCTTCCGAGTCTCTAGGATCCTAGGGTCCTCTTCATCTTTAGCTCACGTAACCTTAAAAGTCCAAGAACCTGGGTTCCTTAGCTCAGGTAATTGAGGTCTACCTGTGCAGTCCACCTTTGTTGTTCTCAGTTTAAAGTTCAAATGGGAAATCTTTGCGAGGCCACACCCCCCCAAGTTAAATGTACTTTTTATGTAACTGAGGATAGATTCAAATAAGAATGATATGAAGTGAAATGTACAGCCAATGAAAAGTATAATTCAAAAGAAACTTATTTTAATAACTGTATTGAATTACTTTAATCCTGGGCTTATGAAATCATTTGGGGCTTGAAAGGGTAACTTTAATTTTTACTTGTACTTTACTGTATTTTACTAGAATTTTACTTGTACTTTACTGCATTTTACTACCTGGGTATACATTGTGTCTTGTTTGTGTTTTGTTTCCCGAAACTTTGTTCTCCTTCACAGATGTTTCCTAAGGGCCTAGAATAGTGCTTGGCCCCTAGTAGGCACTCAATAAATATTTGTTGAAAGGTATAGTGACTTTTATGGAGAAATTACATTCTGTGTAAGTTTCCTACATCATGGACTCTTGACTATCAAGGGTCCATAGTACTCCAATGAAAGAGGGGTTGGGGTTCCCTCAGAGTGGCCTGAAATAGTTCTAACATTACAAACAAACCAAGGATGACATTATTAAAAGGAGGGGCCTGTGGGGCTTATGATGATCTCATTAAGGTTTTGGATAAAGCTCTCTTTTTGGTACATGTTGTCTATATGTGGCAGATAGACATGACTCTTAGTCTACAATCCCAAGTGTTCTGTAAATCCACTTCCTAGCCTTATCCTGCAGGAGTGGGGAGAAATTGGCCCCCATTCGTTATTGGGAACATTGACACACAGATGTGCCAATATCACTGACCAAGGTTCAGACTGGCTAACACTGAGAAGCCCACTGTTTCAAGGGCCTCCGTTTCCCTGGACGCCCCACACAGCTGTCCTCTCTGTGGTCCTGATACCTTTAGGGAGTGTGCTGCCCAGCTAATCACGTGGTTGCCATAATTTTCTCTTTCAGTCTCTCGGATGCCCTTTGAGCACTTTTAGCCCACAACTTCAGTTCTCAGCCTATCCTCCCTTCTGGATCCACCGCAGTCCTCACTTCAATGAGCTCAACCACCTCTGCTTTCTGCCCTGCAGAAAAATCCCCAAGGCAAAGAAATACAGTCTGGGCATGGCATGCAGGTAGAAGTGGGACAGAGAGAACTTAAGAAGAACAAACAGATCGTCTCAATAAATTATTCTGCTCCATGCTGTACTGAGTGGCCATTTCCATCATCCTTCATTCATAAGCCAATGAGGAAAACACCCCTTAGAGAAACCCAAGGACTGGGGACCCAATGCCTGACTTTGGCAACGTTTGCTCACACTTCCATGACAGTAAGTAGAAAGCAAGGAAGGTGGGGCATATCACTCCTTGCTCTGAGCCCACTTTGGCTGGAAGGCAGGAAAGCTCTGTTTTTGCCAGCATTCATTTGAATGTAACTGAACTCCCCTGGCTTCTGGGCATCTTTCTGGTGTGTGAACCCTTCAACCTTCTGTCACTCTGAGGCTTTCTTCCATTCTCACCTCAAATCCCTAGGAAGCTTCTCAGAAACTTCAAAAGTCACTTACTCAGACACTGCTTTGGTGGTTGGAATATAAATGTTGAAGAGTCTTGACATCCTCTACGGGGATCTTTAAAGAAGACTTCAAAGAAACAGCTCTCCTGCTTTGAGAATTTCCCACGTAAGTAATAAATGAAAATAATTCCCCTTTCTATATGTCTCTGATCTCATCCAGAGGGATGGGTTTATTAAACAAGCCTAAGAGATTGCCGGGGAATCTCTCCACAGCTCTTGGGAGCTTGTGTGATCAACGGAATCACTGAACTGCTCTGAAAAGCCTCACGTGACAATATGCGGACACTGTCATTTTCAAGTCAGGCTTTATGTGTGGGAGAGGGGCGCGGGAAGGGGTGGGTTATCCTTTCACAAGTACCAAGTCAGTTTTTTATAATAAAGGAGAGGGGCGCCTGGGTGGCTCTGTCGTTAAGCGTCTGCCTTCGGCTCAGGTCATGATCCCAGGGTCCTGGGATCGAGCCCCGCATCGGGCTCCCTGCTCGGCCAGAAGCCTGCTTCTCCCTCTCTCACTGCCCCTGCTTGTGTTCCCTCTCTCGCTGTGTGTCTCTCTCTGTCAAGTGAATAAATGGAATCTTTAAAAAAAAAAGATTATAATAAAGGAGAAATGGATCTTTCACGAAATTAAAATCTGAAACAAAGTCTTACTTCTGGATGTGGCATCTCCCCTTATTCTACAGAGCATCTTTAGCACACCATGTGTGTAGGGAACAGGATAATGTTGGAGTTAAAAGGCGAAACTTGGAAGTTAGCTGGTGCCAACCCTTCTATCTAAAGATAAGGAAACACAATGGAAGGATTTTAACTTTTGTCCTATACCCCAACATAGGAAAAAGGACTGAGAGAAAATGAAGCAAACGTTCTGAGCCTGATCCTCAGCTTCCTTACCATAAAAAATGGAATCATTGTACATGTCTCATCGAGCTTGTGAGAAGGTTAAAGGAAATCATACCTGGAAAAAAACCATAGCCCAGTTACTGGCACACATGAAGTGCTACATAAATGTTAGCAGCTGAGGAGACTACTGCAGCTCAGGCCCGGAACCGTGGCTCTCAATCCCTGCTGCACAGCAGGACTTTCTGGGATGTTGTTTCAAAAACGCTCAAGCCTGGGCCCAGCTGCAGACATTCGGAGTCCACTGGCCTGAGGAGGGGCCCAGTTTAGGTGTGGTTGAGGAATTCACCAGGTGATTCTTAATGTGCAGCCAAAATTGAAACCCCCTGGCCCAGGAGATCCAGGGACAAAGGAGAGACCATGTATCCTTAGCACTAGCCTACTACCAAGCAGACGGTAAAGGAAGAGAGAGAAGAAAAAATACCAAGGTAAGTTTTCCAAAGAAGTCTGAAAATGACATCTTTTGTCAACAGCAGGTTAATCATCAACCTAATTGAAATGAAGCAATTAGTAAGGCTTAACAAGAGTCTTACGGAAACAGTAGAGTTTCCCTCTGTCCACAAGGCTAAGGAGACCCATTGCCACCCCTGAAAGAAGACACACCCAAGTTAACAAGAGGGCAGTCGTTTAATGCAGAAATCCAGTTAACAGAAAGAGACAGAGGTTACACAACAGGTAAGACATAGAACAATACTGCATAGTGTCACGGATTAGCTCTTACACGGTTGGTCTGTTTTCCTTAGGATTCGGATTCCAATACGAAGACAGTGAAGAGACTTTAGTTGAAAATAAATAAATAAATAAGGCAACAGAAGAGGAAATCTTCCTGTTGACAAGGAACATCCACAAATAATGCACAGATATCTGGTGCTGACACAACACACCCTTAGGACAAGTTCCAAAGATACCGCATTGAAAATTGAACAAGCATGGTACGATGACAAAATTATACTCGCTTTGTTATGAATCCTTTTGCAAATAGAAATGAATCTCAGGTAATTGTTATATACAAACTCTCTGAAATAAATGGCAATCATACAAATTTTTTCCATTGCAATTTCCTCTTTTTCCTAAACCTAGGAATGTTCCATGGCACTGCTCCCAATGTCTCACAGTCAAAGCATAAATAGTCATTAAAGCACTTGAATTCCCAATAGTCTTGTCCATAGAAAGGTATGGAGGTCTTGCATGATTTTTCTATCAGTCATCCAGAAAGGGCTGGCAAGCAACAGGTTGGAATGTAAAAGACCGTTTTGTGCTTGGGATCCCGACTTGAATTCCACTCTGTTCCTCTCAGGAGCCGTCCGCACCGTGGACAGGCCACCAAGCAGTGAACTTGAGTCTGGACAGTCATACCGTGGAGTCCCTGCCAGACTTTAGATGTGCAATCTTGGTCCGGCTAATAAATGGATAAGCGATGCAGAGACCTCCAGCTGCCACAATAAAGCCTAAACTGCACCAGGCGCAAAAGATGGACCAGCTGTAGCCATGTTCCACATCATCAGGCAGGCTATAAATTAGCTTCGGGAGCCGGTTCAAATCATAGGCGATACTGGCAGCATACGTGCAGAGGGAAATGGTGCAAAATATCCCTACAAATAAAGCAAAGGGAACAGAATGATTGGTTACAGTGTTGCCTGCTACAAGGCACAGGCCAGACAGGACTTTGTGAAAATCAGGTCAACTGATGAGGGGGTCACTCCAAATTAGTAAAGGATCTATAATTCTTGCACTGGAATTAACTTGAATCCGTTCAACAAACGTTGGCGCAAACTTTATGCGCCAGACTGTACAGTAGGTATTGGAGAGTTAAAGAACACGGGAGAAGACTCTGATAACTTGAATTATTCAGGATTATCTTGCTGGGATGGTATGCATATTTGAATTTATTTTTGGTTTTTGTTCTTAAAACAACGAAATAAAAATTCTGTTTTTAAGGAAAAGATCTAGAATCACTCACACCTAATACAAAACAGTCTTCATTTCCCCTTGTTCTATACCCGATTTGACACATTTTTATATAGTTGCAAGCATCATCCAATGTCTGTTTTCCTTTTCAGCTACCATTATCGTTAGTATTCATCATGTTCCCTGTAAACAATACTTTAAATGAATTTTTCATGGGCTAAATTATGTTTTAAGGTACAGAGCATGGCACATACTAGGGCCTCAACAAATCATTGTGGGTTTTTTCAATGAATGAATAAAAGCTTTTTAAAAAAATTTTTATTATTTATTTATTTATTTGAGAGAGACAGAGCACAAACAGTGGAAAAAGCAAACTCCCCACTGAGCAGGGAGCCCGACATGGGGCTCAATCCCAGGACCCCGAGATCATGACCTGAGCCTAAGGCAGACGCTTAACCAACTAAGCCACCCAGGAGCCCTGAATAAAAGCTTTTAAATGATACAAATTAAATCCAGGATGTTGGAATTGACATAAAATAGCTGAGTAAGGAGATCACATACTTCAATCATTCAGAATATAGGAGACAATTTGGGTGACATAAAGAAAGTGGACAGACCCCCAATTTTCCTTTTTTGTACCAACACATATATGTATAATTAATTGTCCTTCCAGAACACTAAAACCAGGACTGAAAAAAATTTCCCAAACACAGTATTTTTAGTACTTAAGTGATGCTCCAAGGATACAGATGTTTCTGTTCCACCACAATGGACCCCTAAGGATGCTCCTTTGGGATGGGCAGGGGATCAGAAAGAGGCTGTTGCAGGAGATGGGTAATGAAAACAGAAATGCACACCCAATGAAGTATTGGAATGTCCAGTTTGTTCCAAATCCTCTGCATCTCTTCTTCATACTTCGGTTTATCCCACATACAATGGAGGTTGCATCTATTGGCCGGAAAATTGCTTTGGGGATATATTGAACACCTCCATAGGTAACAGAGACACAGATTTGGGGAATAAAAAGAGAGGACCAGAAGTAACAGATTTCCCCTGATCTTTTAATAGAGCTCTAGGGATCAGAAACACTAGCAGAAAACCAAATTCAGAGCAGGCAGCAATTGGGAGGAAATAAAGATGACCTCAGTGCCATTTTTAAGTGCCAGAATTCTGCCTGCACTCAAATCGCCTAAGGGCACATTGCCTGAACCCTTTTCCAAATGTGCATTTCAAAAAGAAATGTTTCAAATTAAAAGGACACGATCTGCGATAATCTGATATTTCCTACCCTTTGTCTAATTCTGTTTTTTTAAAAATCTAAAGTGATTCTGTTTTTCCAAAAAGGATAAAATCTTATCTTCTGAATTCCTGCTCCAGATTATTATGGCAAACATATCACTTTGAGTTTTCCAAAGATCATGATGGAAATAACTCTTTCATAAAGGAATGGACTCGTCAAAAAATAATACTCCTCTGCTTTTTTTCAAACCTGTGAAGAGCAAATGATCCTACATTTACATGAATGTTTTCACTGGCACCACAACAAAGACAATGTTTATATATAACAAGGGCCTTCTAAGGAATGCTGGTAATAGAACAATAAGGCAGTTAGAAAAAAATTGATCTCTGGAGTATCAGCAGGTAAAATATAATAATAGAACAATGACCCGATCACAGGAAAAACAACTCTGTTCTGCATTCAACTGTCTGCACAGAGCTGAATGCCTAAAAGCAAGGCTTTTTACGAGTAATGTAGTTTTAATGACCTCTGATAACTTGAGTTCAAACTAAGACTTTTAAGCATCCTTTGATGTCCAAATGCATTGAGCTGAGATGCAGGAAATGTGTATTCTGATCCCCAGATCTACTGCTAATCACTGTGCGACCTTGAAATTACCTAACCTCTCTGAGTCTTAGTTTCTTCATCTAGGGAAAAAAAAATGGGGGACTTGGTTACTGAAACCCTTATATGTCAAATTCCTGTGATTCTGTTATTCCAAAATAAGGCATGGAGCAAGAACACTCCCCCATCCCACCCCTCCCCCAAAAAGAAGAAGAAAGCCATGTATATACTATACATGCTCCCTTTGATTTTATACCAAACGTTGATTTTGTTAGCACCTCTCCCCTGCCAACTCCGTCAAGTTGCTTTTGGCGAAATGAATTTCAGCAGAGCACCACCAGTTCACACGGAATAGAAAAGGATTGTCAGAAATAAGCTAACCTGAGGACTTAACCAGAAGGATGATTTTCTCTGCCCTAGGTGTCATGAATGATTGTGCCTTTGTCTGTGGACCTCAGGGTCACTGTGCACGATGCCTGATAGAAAGTTCTGCCTCTGATGGAGTTGCTCAAACTCCCGAAAGCTAATCAGTGGCCCACCATGAGCAAAAGTTGGGCACTTCATGTCATGCTTTTCGCTACTGACCTCACCCTTAGATCCGTCTTGCTTCCCAAACCTCATTGCTCCTTTGTCTTATTTGTATCACTCATTTCTATTTATTTTATGGTGATATATATGTATCTCTGTGCCTTTAGGTTCTTTTTGGAAGAGGGCACTTGCCAAACCTTGACAAAAACCTGCCTTATCGTCTGTTGCCTTTACTCACTCTGCTTCAGGTTGGCAGGGGTATTATGAGCCCACAAACACGCCCCCATCCACCCTCCACCCTTCCCACAGATGCCCTCGTGGGGGTGCCCTTTGGTGACATTTTTAATTCTTCCAAGACACTTTTGAAGTTCTTCTGAGAAAGAGGAAAGCAAGAAGTAACACAAAAGCATAATATGCAAGAGTTCCTCTCTGTTAGACCCTCACATGTCTCAGAGTTTGCGCACAGAGCTGCCACAGCTATTATCTGTGGGATGGTCAGGCCTGTTTCTGATTATTACCAGGAAACGTACTGAGAGGAGAGAAAGCATTGTTTCCAACTTGCTCAACAAGATTTTGTAAAAGAGGCCTAACCCACTCAAGATATTTTAAAAAGGAAAAAAAAAAAAATCCTCACTTCAAAGACACCAAGTGTGGTTTAAAATAAGGAAAACATCTTTGCTGTAGCTGGATTATTAGTCTTAGGTCATTGTTGATACTGCAGAATTCTATTTTAGCTCCATATGCACATCTCGCAGTGCTCATGTGTTTGCTCAGGCTGCCATCACAAAGCACCAGAACCTTAGGTGGCTGAAACAACTGATATTTTCTCACGGTTATGGAGGCTAGAAGTCTGAGATCAAGCTACTGGCAGGGCTGGCTTCTTCTGAGTCCTCTCTTCTTGGCTTGTAAATGGCGGTTTTCTACTTGTCTCTTCACAGTGCCATCCCTCCATAACTGTGTCCAAATGTCCTCTTCTTGTAAGGACACTGGTCATATTATAAGATTAGGGCCCACCCTAATGACCTCATTGTACCTTAATCACCTCTTTAAAGACTCTGTCTCCGAAGATAGTCACATTATAAAGTACTGGGGTTTAGAACTTCAAGCACAGAAATTTGGGGAGGGACACAACTCAGCCCATAACATCGTATTTGTGTGCAATGTATGAAGTATATTTCTATTTCTTTTCTAGGTCTTAGCAAGATTTTACTATTTTAAATGTTATTTAATCAGTTATTCAGCAATTAGTTATCAAGCATCTACTACGTCCCACCCCGGGTTCTGATCATCTTAGAGGTGGTTTAATCAGTCCTCATTGGTCACAGCTGTGATTGGTTTGACGTCGCTGTGATCAGGAACCCCAGGTGTTCTTTCCATTCCATTTCACCGAATGCATCTCAGGGCAAGGTAGTAGACACCCCCTAGACTAAAGTTCCACATGGATCCTAACAGTGCTGAGCACATGGAGTCAACAAACCTGCCAAACAAAACTTGAGTTCTACAACACATTGAGTTCTACCAACCTAAGGATCCAGTCATCCCAAAATACCCCATGTAGGACTTACCCAGGGAGCAAGTTATTGGCAGATAACACAGCACATTTGTCAGTAGCAATCCAGTTAATGCAAGGTATGGGGCAGGGGTATGAAAAGATAAATAAGGTATCACCCCTACACTCAAAAAGTTCAACATCTAACTATCCTTCCTGAAGATCCACAAGGAGAGAAGTTGCCTCTCCTCCATTCTTCTCCTAGACTCTCCTTCCCTTCTGCTCACTCCCTGACCAGCCAGGAGCCCCTGCGGCCAGCACTGATACTCTTCAGCCCAGCTTGAATCCCAGGCTGGGTCATGGTTATTGCTGGTTAACATCTTCAAAAGAGTGAAGAGTTACTGGTTTTGAATTCTAATATTCAGAATTAGAAGATACAAGGATATTGCAGAATTATAGGGTTGGAAGGGATCTATCTTTTCGGATCAGGATGGAAGTAAATTTATGCAGCCATCCCAGATCATCAACCCAATTTCCTTCCCTGAACTCCTCGAGGTGCCCGTGGCCAACTGGCGAGCTGTAATTAGGGTAACTAGGCCCCCTCTTCTGACCATCATCCTTTGATGTGCTTAACAGTGTGAAAGGAGTGGGAGCTGCTTCACCCTGGTTAGCCTGCTTGATAAATAACGCAACTGCAACACCCAAAGGCATAAACATTGATTTTTTTTTTCACTCCTTCAAAAGATGGCCTGCCCATCATCCTGGTCTCTTTGCTCTTCCAGCAAAAATGCCTCATGCTACTTTCACACAGATTGCTCGAAAAGCCATTCCTAAGTTGTTTTCCCTAAATGAATAGGCAAGAAACAGACAAAACTTTAAAAAATAAAATAGAAGATCCACAATCTGAAATTATTAAATCCAAAAAACATCCCATCTTTCCCTGAAAGATCGCAGCAATCTTATTTAATGCAAAGCCTGACCTGACGTGACATGAGGCTATTTATAGTCCTTATTGATCCTGCTTCGTGTGAATATTCATATGTTTTGCTGCAGAAATGTTAATGGATTTGATTTCAGACCCTGCTGAGGGTGTTAGATAATATAAGATCTATGCACCATATTTACCTTTCTAAAATGAAACTTAAAAATCCTGAATTCCAAAACACACCTGGCTCCCAGTGTTTCAACTCAGGCACTCAGTAACTGTGGGTTTAGGTCATAATCAATGGATAACCTAGATAATTCCATATATCTGCTATAGTGGTTTTCTTGTGTTTTTGTTCATTTTGGGTTTTTTGTTTGTTTTTTTAATGCATTGAAGCAAAGGAAGGGATAGCTGACCGTGGGTGTTGACCATCCCTGAGCTTTGCTGGGCAGCCTGGTTCCTTTGAGAGGCCCCACGGGAGAGGAAGGGGCGAGCACCAGCACTGCCGGTCCACTTGTGGGTAATCAAGAGCTGTCTGCAAGCAATAAGGCAGAAGGAGGAAGACTGCTTCAAAGTTTCCATTTTAACATCTCAAACTGTCACATCACTGATGCTCTGCATTGAAGGTTTGGCTAATAAGTTCAGGCGGAGAATGAAGATGCCAGCGCATTAGAAGCGGCTAAGTTTAGCATCAGAAATCTGTGGGAGAGATGCTGACAAGGGCTGCTGAAGACACTTCTGCTTAATTAAAATCAATTCTTTTAAACCTTCGTTGCTCTCCTCTGCGGCTACCACACGTGAACATCCTCCAGCTAATTTATCTCAGGCAATGGATTCTTGTAGTTACCCGGTGTTTACAAAGGAAAGGTAAAGGCAGTATTTAAAACAGCAAAAAATAAAACAAACCTCTCTAAACCCAACAGAAAGGGAACAGATGAGCACAACACAGCATATCCACTCCCTGCAAGAGCAAGCAGGTCTCCTCTGTGCCCACCCAGGACTCCAAAACCGCTCTCCTCTCATCTAAAACCAGACTGGCCCGTGACCTTCTCAGGAACTCTCGCTAGCCCTGGCTTTTATGGCCAGTGATTTATTTTACCGCTAATAATTGTTTTATATCTAAGAGCATCCTAAATTATTTATGCATTACCCATATTAAAGTATGTTTTAAAACCATCCCTAAGGCTTTCTTGTCTATAGCCCCCCTCATTTTCCTGACAAGGGGACGTGATGTAGGCCTTTCCAGGGTTGGGGGTCAGTGAATCTGCAGTTCTCTGATAAACACCAGGACACGAGTCAGGAAAATGGGGGCTCAGCTAGTAGGGGGCAGGAAGAAAATGGACAAGATTTCTAATGACTGTGATGCCCCAGCCGCGGCTTAAAGGAAACTTCTGGGCAGAAACAGGCCTCTCTGCTTCTTTGCTACCCTGACCTACTCGTTCTGTCTTTTGGGTTTTAAATGAGGCACCCAATGGCTAGGCTCGAGGGTTCGAATCCTCCTCCAAAACCTCAGGAACCAGAATTTTAGCCTCCTTGTGCTACAGTCCTAGCGTAGTCACCAAAATGTGAAGAGCTTACGTTGGTTTTCTGCTGAGACTCTTCGGGGGCCGTGTGATTTCTGAATGCTCTGTCAGGGTGCTTACAACGATGACCCATGTTACTCACAGGGCGAGAAAGGGTCCCATGGCAGTTAGAAGGAAGGGTCTCTGCCTGTGACTTGGGTTACTCAGGCCTCAGATTGGCTGACCAGAAAGCAAAGCGCCACCTACCTGTCAACCCTGAAAGACAGGCAGACAGAAAATGGTGTCAGCCAATGATGTCAGGTCTTGCCGCCTCCAGTTAACGTGCATGTGAGTGAGGGGCCATTAAGTGAGAAGTGCTAGTAAACCCAGTCATGGGCACTTGAAAAACGGAACTCCAAAGCAGCAGAAATAGGCTTGTTCAAAATGGCTATGTATCCAAAGTGATATTAGCTCTGATACTGAGTATGCTTGTGAAACTGTTCATTTGACATTCGCTAATCACCAGTACATTAATTTTTTTGGTGAAGGAGCAGAAGGAAAAAAGATTTCTTCCCTGTAGGCACCTTCAGTGTTAGCTGTCAGCTCAGCTCCTGACTCCTTCACTTGCTAATCAAAAAGACCACAGTCATGTCTCCACACACCACCCCCTTTCCAATCCCCTGCTTTAAGGTCAAGTCTCTCTTCTGCTTAAAACCTCTAGGTGGTTGGGGCGCCTGGGCGGCTCAGTGGGTTAAATGTCTGACTTTGGCTCAGGTCATGATCTCAAGATCCTGAGATCAAGCCCCACGTCAAGCCCAGCTCCGTGCTTAGCAGGGAGTCAGCTTGTCCCTCTGCCTCTCCCCCACCGCTCATTCGCTCTCTCCCAAATAAATAAATAAAATCTTTTTAAAACACCAGTGGCTTCCATTACCCTTAGATTGAAATCCAAGCCACTGTGCATCTCCCTGCCCTCCAGCCACACTGGTCTTCTTTCTGTGGCTCAAAATACACCAACCCATCCCTGCCCGTAGGGCTTGGCTCACCCCACAGCACACTCCCAAGGGCTGGCTGCTTTTCCCGATTTGGCAGGGAAATTGCCACCTCAGCAAGGTGTTCCCCGAGCCCCCTAATCCACCTTGTTTGTTTTCCTCAAAGCTTTTATTACTATCACAAGTTCTTATCTCCCCACGATGAAAATGGAGAAGGATTTTTGTCTGCCTTACTCATTGTGTCTCTAGTACTTAAAGTAGTGCCTGGTACATAGTGAGTCCTCAAAATCTATCTGTGGAGTGAAATGAATGAATGTTTTGTGTGTAAAAATGACCCCAAAGACACCATCACTAAGAGAAGTACTTTGAGTTGACTTCCAGCCCAGGGGGTGGTTGTGCTGATCTCTCTCTCTCTCTCTCTCTCTCTCTCTCTCTCTCTCTCTCTCTCATGGCGAGCTCCTGATAAACAATGGCCAGAGCTTGCCAAGAGTCCAGGCCAAGGCTAGGGCCAGAGTGGAGAAACCAGGCCCGTATTAGGAACACTGCTGTTCTCTTTAAATTCTGTATCACCCACCAAAGCCAAATGGCCCCTGGCTGCTTTTCTCACAAGTGAAAGCAAAATGAGCAGAGCGAAGCAGGCTGCATGCAGAGCAGCCTTCCCTTCTGCCCGGAGGGGGGTCTGAGGGGTCTTAGGTGTTCAGCGTACCTGTCATGAGGAAAAGGAGTCCGGCCACGTGTTGGGTCAAGCTTTCCTCCCAGAAGAAACTGACCGTGGCCACGATGCAGCCACAGAGCAGGACAGCCACCGCCATGCCCAGGAACCCGGCGGTGATTCTTCTCAGGTCTACTCTCGAAACACAGACATTCGGCATGGGAAGGAGAAACAGCAGAGTTACTGAAAACTAGAGAATGAAGAGCTTGGTGTACACGGTAAACACTAGTCAGTGGCACAAGCAGGCCAGGGGTCTGCAGGCTTGGGGTGGTCTAGGGAAGTCTCTCCCAGGTCTCCCACCAGAGGACAGATGGGGTCAGAGTCTACCTTCTCTGCGTGCGCGGAGAAGTCAGGACCACGCAGAGAGCAGAGCAGAGCAGAGAACGGTGCCCAGATCAACTTGGGTCATGGATAGCAAGTTACTTAGGAAACAGAGAGTGAAATATCTTCTCTTTCCTCAAAAGAGCAACGGGAATGCCACCTACCACCGCTGCAAGTGGCTACACTTAATCTGGCTTCGGAGAAAGGGCCTACAAGGTATGCTGCAGTGAAATATGGTTTTACCCGATCGCCATAGGTGCCAGTTATCTTATTTGTCTTTGTCACAAAGACACAATCATGATCTTTAGGCCAGAAGCCCAGCCCCTCCCCCAGCTCTGAGGCAAAACCAAGACATGGACCAACGACAGGGACCCAGACATATTTTCACTCTGATTGCTACCCTAAAGCAGCACTCTGATTGCCCACCCTCTGCTATTTAATTTCTTCTGTTTTTCTATTTCCTTCCTTCCCTTTTTTTTTTTTTAACAAATCGAATTTTAAAAATTGTTAGCTAAATGTCTATGACACTTCTTAAAATAGTAGATCCCAAGCATAGCTTAGCTGCCCCAGAGGCCAGTCAACAGCTCTGGGCCCACATGGACCATTCCTTTCTTTTAAAGGGGCTTCTCATTTCCAGCTCAGAGCATCTAAATGAAAGCAGAGCATCGCTGCCTAGAAGAGGAGGCACCTCAGGCCAAGGGCCAGGGGCTGTGATCATTTAAAGGGGCTGAGTTTAATGTTAAGAGGATAAGTCATTTTGCGACATCCACATCTGAGCAGAGGAAACGTCAAAATAGGTCAGCCATTGTTGTCTCAACTTCCTAAATTCCCTGTGGTGTAAGTAGTAATTCTATTGTCTATGACCATGAAAAGGCACTAGGTTCAGATATAATCTAGATGGGATTTGCACTAGTACCAGACATGTTAAGCTTATCTGGTAAACCTGGTACAGATCCCCAAATGTGACTTTCTTAGAAAGAGCATATGCATGCAAATACTGAAAATGTCTTTCTGTAAGAACCTCAAAAAAGATAAAGAGAACGCTCAAATACTGTCTTGCTGGGCAACAGCAAGCCACAAACTCCTCCAGTAAAGAGGCAAGGTTCTTTCTCAGGCTCCTATATTGATCTTTTCTCACCAGACTTAAAACCAGTGACTACGGGGCTTTCTGGACTGTTGATTAAGACAAAGAACTCCAAAGATGCTCCTGAAGAGTTCAGACGTAAGAACACTTACACAAAACTAACTCAGATCTGCTGAGAAATGCTTGTTAAGATCAGCCAACAAGAAAGAATTTTCAGGAAGTCATACCATTAAGAAATAAACCACATTTCAGGCAATGACTTTCCAAGTCCTAAATTTGCCAATCCTAATATGTATAGCATGAGACCACTGCTAAAGCAGTATCATAAGAGCTTTCATGTATATGTTTGAGATTCAAAACAGTCTTTTGATCTGCAGAGACTTCCTCACAAAATGAGATTCTGCTTGGTTTTCTGCAGCGGCTTTGGTCACCAAACAAGATCCCCAAAGTCCTTGCTGCTTATTTCATTGGAAAATGACAACGTCGACCTCTGACTAGGGTCTAGTTTTTTGCTTTCCTGAGTCATCTATCACCAGGCAGCATGAATCAACAATTTTCAGGTAAATATTGGCCCTCTTTAGTGTCACACTGCATGATCCTTTCTAGATTTTCACATTTTCCTGACAGTGAAAAAGAGCAGTTCCCATCATCGAGATATCCTCTAATGACAGACATCCTCTGAGAAAATTACAACATACACACTCATAAAGACATTTTAGCAGAAATATCAAGGCCTGAGATAGACATGGTGGCTAAAATGAATATTGTATAAACAAAACAAAACAGAGTACCTAAAGTATAATCTCCTTGGTTTACTAAGATAAGTGGCAGAGCAGGTCCTTGCACCCGATGACTTGGTAAAGAAAAGATGCAGGAGGCCATTTGCGTACAGATGCCACCAGGGCAGAAACACACACTGCCCAGTCTCACAAAGCCTCAGGACTGATATTCACACATTCCATCTGTAAACAAGTTTGACCGCAGCATAGTGAAATGACTCTCAGAGTCTCTGACCAAGTTGGACTGGGCCCACAGGCCCACAAAAGCTCAGCACAACATCTCTTGGTTCAAACCTGAGAGGGCTGGTGGGAATACTCTTTGTTCAGAAAGACACCATTTCCTCTCTGACCCCTTCCCAGAAATACTCACGAAGCAGGTGCCATTCATCTTGCTGAATTGTCTTGGTTAAATTGAAAGGAATGTTTCGTAAGCGGATTGGCTGAGAAAAGTGGTACTTGATAGCCGTGCATCTCTGTGCAATACCTTGAAGGAAATAAGAAATGCGATTTACTAGTCTGGGCATTTGTAATACAATTCTGGAGACCTACGGCAGAGTAATGTATCCTAAACTGGGTTGAATGGGGGAAGGGATAGGAATCTCTTAACCAACTGAGCCACCCAGGTGTCCCGGGATAGGAATCTCTTGATGACCCTCAGTAATACAGACAAATCAGAGCAGGAAACACCTAAAACATGACATAATTTTTTAAATCATGTTTCACTTTTGAATGTGTTAAAATTGATAAGGATCTAAACTCTCCTAATTGTTCTTCAACACTAAGTTTGTATTAACTAAACACAAAACTCCACAAGGAGAAATGGCCTTAAAGTATAGAGATGGTTGGGGGAAATCGATTTAAAATTTTAAGTTAACCCAGACAAATTACATGTGTCTGAACTCAATCCAATCTCAAGCTCTCAGACAGGTTGCATCAAAAAGTTCATCAGGAAGTATATTATTTGGAAACCAGAAGACATCATTCCATTAGGACAACCTTCTGGTTGGTGGTTTAGGTGGTGATTCAGTTACCAGACAAACCTCAAGAGCCTATTTAACCCCAGAGCAGCTGATGTATTTCCTTAATACGAATTTTGCTGACCTAAATTCTGGGCCCCAAGAGAAAGAATAATATTATAGGTGGAGAGGGGGAAAAATAAAAATAAAAGTAGAGAGGAGAAAGAAAAAAATTCTCTCTACCTTTTCTGGTTGCATGCCCAGGCCTATGTGCAATATTTTGAAATGGACAAGTGTACCCATTGCTTTATCTGGTACCTTCTCCTACCCTCCCTCCCAACCCATGCTTTTATTGCATAAATAAATATGGGCTTATTTTCCCCCTGAAATCTCCTGAGTCCCATGATTCAGCCTGAATCCTATGCGTGGCAGTGGTTATGTGGTCTAAGGCATAGGAGTTAGGTGTTTATAAGACAGAAAATGCCTGTGCTTACAAAGAACAAGCAATCTGTTCTGTGAGAATAATAGCAGATAACATGCTGCAAATGTATTAATAGCTTGCATTTGTATTTTTCAAAACTGTCATTCCACTTGATATTCATCTTCAGGCTGACCTGAGGCTCCATGTAAGCAGGGAGTGAAGGCTAAGGCAGAGTTAAAGACATGTCCAACAAACACACAGAGCCCATTAGCAAAGACTGGGACTTATAAGTTCCAGGCAGCTAAGGACATTTCTGTCCATTAGCTTCACACAAAGCTAGTCAAGCAGAGACTTCAGGGGCCACATATGACAAAGAATACAGACTTTATAGAATTAGTTAAAGAAAGACACTAAAAAACCAATGGCAGCAACACAAAACAATAACAAACCCTGGGGAGGAGGAAGAATCTGATTTCCAGAGTTGCTACATAATATTATTTTAAATACTCAGTTTTTGATAGAAAAGTACAAAACATACAAAGAAACAAGAACATATGGCCCATGCGGGAGGAAAAAAGCCAGCCAGTAGAAATTATCACTGAGGAAACCCAGATGTTGGACTTATCTTGACAAAGACAATAAATCAGCTGCTTAAAATATGTTCAGAGAACTAAAGGAAATCATATCCAAAGAACTACAGGTAAGCATGAGAATGATGTCTCATCAAAGAGAGAATATTAGTAAAGTGATAGAAAGTATACAAAGAAAAAAAAACAAATAGAAACTCTGAACCTGGAAAGAATAATAGCTGAAATGAAAAATCCACTAGAGGGGCAGAAGAAATAATCAGCAAACTTGAAGATAGGTCAGTTGAGATGATCCAGTCTGAAGAAAATGAGGAAAAAAGAGTGAGGAAAATAAACAGAGCTACAGAGATTTTCGACACCACCAAACCAACGTAAGTATAATGAGAATCCCAGAAAGGAGAAAAGAAAAAAAGGGGCAAAAAGAATATTTGATGAAATAAATATAAAATATTTGATGTAAACATACATTCTTACATCTAAGTTTGATGAACTACAAATAAGATAAACTCACAGCAAGCCACACCCAAATACATCATAATCAAACTCCTGAAAGCCAAAGAGAGAACTGTGAAAGAAGCAAGAAAAAAAGCAACTTATCACATACAGGGGTTCCTCGAAAGCGTAGAAGATGATTTCTCATGAGAAACTATGGAAGTAGAAGGGAGTGAGAGGATTTATTCAAAGCACTGAAAGAAAGATAATCAATCAGGAATTCTATATGCAGCAAAGTCATCCTTCAGAAATGAAGGAAAAATTGAGGTATAATAAATGTATTGTTTGTGTTTTTTGTAACTTTTTTTTCTCCTATCTGATTTAAAAGACACAAAGCATTAACCAATAATTATAAATCTGTGTTGAGGGGCGCCTGGGTGGCTCAGTCGGTTAAGCATCTGCCTTTGGCTCAGGTCATGATCCCGGGGTCCTGGGATCGAGCCCCGCATCGGGCTCCCTGCTCAGTGGGGAGCCTGCTTCTCCCTCTCCTGCTCCCCTCACTTGTTCCCTCTCTTGCTGTGTCTCTCTCTCTCTCTGTCAATTAAATAAATAAATAAAATCTTTAAAAAAAAAACTATGTTGAGGAACCATACAATGTAATTTGTATGATAACAACTGTGCAAAGGACAGGAGAGGGAATGGAGCTATAAACCAGCAAAGCTTTTATATACAAATGAAATTCAGTTGGTATTAACCCAAACTAGATTGTTATAAATTAAGATGTTAATTGTAATTCACAGGGTAACCATTAAGAAAATAACAGAAAATATAAATAGAAAATAAAACAAAAGGGAATTTATTTTTTTAATATATTTTTTAAGATTTTATTTATTTATTTGACAGAGAGCTAGAGAGAGCCAGACAGCACCAGCAGAGTGAATGGCAGAGGGAGAGGGAGAAGCAGGCTCCCCACTGAGCAGGGAGCCTGATGTGGGGCTCGATCCCAGGCTCCTGGGATCATGACCTGAGCCAAAGGCACACACTTAACCAACTGAGCCACCAGGCGCCCCAACAAAAGGGAATTTAAAAGATTACTAGAAAACATTTATTTAACACAAAAGAAAATAGTAATGGAAGAATAGAGGAACATACAGATAACAAATAGCAAAATGGCAGATGTAAGTCCTCCCTTACGAGTAATTACATTAAATCTAAACAGATCAAACATTCCAATCAAAAGACAGAGATTGGCATTATAAATAAAACAACATGATCCAAGTATATAATGTCCATAAAAGACACACTTTAGATTTAAAGACACAAATAGGTTGAAAATAAAAGTATAGAAAAAGATACACCATGCAATCACCAAAAGAGAGATAGGAACGGCTATCCTAACACCAGACAAAATAAACTTCAAGACAAAAATTTTTACTAGAGACAAAGGCATTTTAGAATGATAAAAGGGTCAATCCACTAGGAATTTATGAAACTGTAAACAGATGCACCTACCCACCAACAGAGCCCCCAAAATACAGGAAGCAAAAACTGAAGGGAGAAATAGATAATTCAACAATAATAGTTGGAGACTTCAATATCCCACCTTCAATCTGGTAGAACAACTAGACAGAAGACCAATATGGAAACAGAAGACTTGAACAACACTCTAAAACAAATAGACAAAATAGACATCTGTAGAACACTCCAGCCAACCAGAGCAAAATACACATTCTTTTTGAGTGCACATAGAACATTCTCCAGGATAGACCACAAATCTCAATAAATTTAAAATTATTAAAGTCATATAGAGTATGTTCTCTGACCATCCTACAATGAACAGAAGAAAGTTTGAGAATTCACAAATTTGTGGAAATTAAGTAACACATTCCTAAACAGCCAATGGGTCCAAAAATAAATCACAAGAGAAATTTCAAAGCACCTTAATGAAAACAAAAAACAAAATCACAACATACCAAAATTTATGGGATGACACTAACCTGCTTAGAGGAAAATTTATGGCTGCAAATGCCTATATTAAAAAGCAAGATGTCAAATCATTAACTGTCTACCTTAAGAAACTAAAGAAAGAAAAGCAAACTAAACCCTAAGCAGAAGAAAAGAGATTATATAATTACAGTAGAAATAAATGAAATGGAGAATAGCAAAATAAGCAAAACCAAAAATTGGCACTAAGATTAATAAAATCGACAAATCTTGGGTACCCGGGTGGTTCAGATGGTTAAGCATCTACCTTCAGCTCAAGTCATGATTTCCGGGTCCTGGGATCGAGCCCCACATTGGGCTCCCAGCTCAGCAGAGAGTCTGCTTCTCCCTCTCCCCCCAGCTCATGCTCTCTCTCTCTCTCAAATGAATAAAACCTTTAAAAAATAATAAACATAAAATTGACAAATCTTTAGTCAGACTAACCATGATAAAGAAAGGGAAGACTCAAGTTACTAAAATCAGGCATAAAACAGAGGACATTACCAATAATCTTATGGGGAAAAAAAGTTTAAGAGAATACTATGAAAAAATTATATGCCAACAAATTAGATTATACAGATGAAATGGCAAATTTGTAGAATGCCACAAACCACCATAACTGGCTCAAGAAAAATTAGAAAATCTGAATAGATCTATAATAGGTAGAGATTGAGTTAGTAAATAACTTATTAAAAATCTTCAATGCGGGGGCACCTGGCTGGCTTAGCCAGTAAAGCATGCCACTCTTGATCTAGGGGTTGTGAGTTTGAGGCCCACATTGGGCATAGAGATTATTTAAAAATAAAATCTTTCAAAAAGAAATCTTCCAATGAAGAAAAGTCCAGGACCATATGTCTTCACTGGTAAATTTTACCAAATATTTAAAGAATTAACAATCATTCATAAAATCTTAAAAAATAGAATTCCCAAATCATGGTAGAAGGCCTGTATTACCCCAATACAAAAACCAAAATATCACAAGTAAAGAATAATTCAAAATATTCCTTATGAATAGGTACGTAAAAATCCTCAACAGACACTAGCAAAGTGAATTCAGCAACACAGAAAAAGGATTGTACATCATGACCAAGTGGGATTGATGTCA